GATATTTTCTCTTCTCTCTGTTTTAATACTTGGGGTTATATATGCCACCATTATGGATCTTAAAGTGTTACACGACACAAGCAGCAAAAAAAGACGGAATATATTAGTATCTCTAAGGCTTCCCTAGCATTTTTATAGTAGCTGGGGACAGCATATCAACTGAACAGAATTGTAAAGGTTTGTCTAGGCCACTGTTATTTTTGAGTGTTTCTGTAATTCACAACTAATTCTAATAAATGCAGGATATAATTCATAGATGAAAGTAAGTATTAAAGGCATCATCTAATGGAGTGAAAAATGTATGGCTCCAGATATTGGGAATGTAAGAGAAGAGTAGGGAACATTTTTAAAAACAAATTCTCCAGAACCTACTATGTGTTTAATGTAACTTTAACAATTATGTAGCTGTTATATATAAATAACTTAAAGGAAGTTAAGGCAATTGGGCTGTCAGCCCTCCCCACAGGAAGCCTAGCCTAACAAAATCCCTACTACCATGCACAAGAAAACTTCCTTTTGAATGGTTCCTCAGAGTAGTCCAAGTAACTGCCAAAACAATATAGATCATTGAGAGTAGCGCTTTGTTGCCTCTCAGGGGTTGAAGGTGGAACCCTGTTGCTGAAGACATCACACACTTAGGGCACAGGACTCAGATGATTTGAGCTAGATATGACTTGAAAGCCTCTTTCTTGCAGTTTTCATTGTTACAGGACATCATGTACAAACTCCCCTTCCAAGGGAGGGAAAGAGTTAGACAGTCCCCACCTGCCTGTATCACCTGTGAACCATAATAATTACCATGACTGGAAGATAGGCATAAAGGTGCAATAAGTGGCCTTCACATGTCAGTTGCAACAGTTGTCTAATTGGACATAAGGCCCATTCAACAGGAGAGAAATCGTGCCTGGTATTGAAAACATATCAAGCTTCCCAGGGCTAGTGAAGTCATGGACCTTAGAAAAGAATTTATTTCTGCCACTTTGGTAAGGCAGCATAATTCTTTACTACATTTTAAAATGTATTCCTATACTCAGAGATAAGTGAAGCTATCAAAGAAGCTCCTCTTTACAGCCAATGGAGACCATCACAACTGGACACAGAGATAAAAAAAAAAAAAACAAAAAAAACAAAAAAAAAACAAAACTGTAGGGAGCTAAGCCCCAGAAGAAACATTTGCAATACTTCTCTACGTCTGTCTCCGGGAATATCATGGAAAGGAGGGCAAAAAGATTGTAAGAGCCAGAATACCAGAAAGTGTGCGGTGAAGACTGGACCACTGGTAACATCAATGTATTATCATGAGATGCAAAAATTTTGTGGGGTTCCACCCCTAGACAGAGAACTATAGGCAACCACTGACTCTGGGGAGAAGGTGAATTAGCCTCTCCTAGGGATAACCACACCACCCCCTGACTATTGGCTGTGTAATGCAGAATAATCAGCTCTGAAGTCATATATAGAAACAACAATGGCCCCCCTCTTTGTGTGTATGTATGTATGTGTGTGTAACAAGATACTAAAGAATTGGAGAGAGCGTGGGAGGGTAACTGAGATGGGCAGGAAGGAGGGAAAGGAGGGGGAAGTGAGGTAATTGTATTTTAATTAAAATTTAAAATATTTAAAAATATTTAGTTGTCTTATTTATTATTTGTGTATATACAATATATATGTATGGTGTGTATGTGTGTGTTTGTGTGTGTGTGTTCATGCTCAGATACACCCATGGCACAGTGTGCGTGTGATAATCAGAAGACAATTTTCAGGTACTAGCTAGTTCTCCTCTTCTACCATGTAAATGAGGCTCAAATTTAGGACAGGGCATCCAAAGCAAGCACTTTAACTCAAGAAAGTATCTTTGATTTTTAAAAATAAAATTGAAAAGGGCAAAAACATAAGCTTGACTATCCCCTACACGTGGTGTTCACTTAGGTTCTCCATGCTACAGTTACACATTACTAATGTCTCTAGTATTTTGTTGTTGTTGTCACTTCTCTTGCTATACTCAAAATTCCTTTAGAACAGGATATGTCTGCTGCATTTCTTTCTCATTATAAATATACACTCTCCCATAGCAGCACACTCAGCACACACAATATTAAAACTGTTTTTACATCTGGGCAAAGACAAGAAAAAGCAAAGCTCTGACGAGGACAGTAAATGTTTTTAAGAAAACTTTGCCCTTCGTCTTCTCTTTGATTGTTTGAAAAAACATGTTTCATCTGAAGAGATTTATGTTTTATCATTTGTTCTTTAATAGTACTTCCCTCTGGATAGTCTGAGATGACCCTCAAGTATGGCTGAAGTCATGTAATAACTTTTCACAGAGCCAAGTGTTATTTTTTGTTCATACCTCTGAGGTGAATAGACATAGATACCCAGCAATTTTTTTTTAAAAAAAGAGGTATGTCTTAAAGAAATTTTATGAAATATTTACAATACCACAATTATCTAAACCTCATATAAATATATTTCAAATAGAATATAAACTACTGTCCCCATAATTGGTTTGTCATTTATTATAAGTTATAATAATAAATGAAATATATTTCAGATAATTTCGTTCTTTTTTAAAATACTATTACTAACACGTTTTTCCTGGACTTGCTTTGTAGACCAGGCTGGACTTGAACTCACAGAGACCTGCCTGCTTCTGCCTCCTGGAGTTGCTGGGATTACAGGCAGGCCCCACCACACCTGGCTTTAGTAACACTTTTAAAACAATATAAAAAAGAATGCTTGTTATAGCATACAATTGACTAATAGATCACGTTAAATTAAGATTTTTAAAGATATTAATAGGGATGTGCATCAATCACAAGTTAATTAACTATTAAATCACACCCAAAAGAAACCCTATACCCATTAACAGTTATTACCTTTATCTCTCTACTCCTAGCCCTTGTCAAGCCCAACTTATATAGTAACTCTACAGAGTATCTATTCTGTATATTTCACATAAATTTAATCATGCACTATGTGACATTTGTCATTAGACCCTTATTGAAGCAAGAAGCATGTATCAGTATCAGTTTTCTTTATATGAACTATAATATTTTATTATATGACCATAGCATATTTTACTTATCTATTCATTTGGAGAACATTTACATTGCTTGCACTTGGGGCTACTATGGATAATGTTGTCAGACATTTCTGTGACTGAGGTTTTTTTGTTTGTTTGTTTGTTTGTTTTTGAGGAGGGATATCTATGTTTTATTTAAGTATAAAGTCAAAAGTAGAGTTGCTGACTTATGCGGTTTTTTTGTTTTTGAGATTTTTCTTACTATTATCATTTATTACAATTTATTCAATTTGTATCTTGGTTATGGCCCCTCCCTCATCTCCTCTCAATTCTACCCTTCTTCCCTCTTTTCTCTCTAAGCTCTGTTTACCTAGTCCACTGGTAGGGGAGGTTCTCTTCCCCTTCCATCTGATCCTAGCCTATCAGGTCTCATCAGGATTGGTTGCATTGTTTTCCTCTGTGGCCTGCACACAGTTACTAGCAGGAGTGGGTGGAAAGCCCTGAGCATCTGCAAACTCACTAACAGGCATGTGTGTGAAGGGCAGAGGGCCTGTGAACTCGCTGGTAGGTATGTGTGCGAAGTGCAGAGTGCCTGAGAACTTGCTCACAGTAGTGTGTAGGGAGGGCAGAGGGCCTGCAAAACTCAGAGGGCCCAGGTACTCACGGTGCAGGAATATGTGGTAATCTCAGAGAGGCCAGTTTTCTACTCTCAGATTTGGGTCTCCTCAAACAGGAGACCCTTTAGAGTAAGAAGGTGCCCTGCACCTCAGGTTATACACTTCCTGCTGAAGCTGCATTGCAAAGTTGCATCCAAAATTGCATGGGGTTTATAGTTTGCCACTCTCAGACCACCCCTGCCCCCCAACATCCACGGTGGTGGGGTGGGGGGAGGGCTGGTTCCAATCTGTCCCAGTTCACAGGTTGTCCCTTCTCAGAAGCCTCAACATCGATGCAGTGACTTCAGCTGCCTATCAACTCACCAGTTTTGGTGTTACAGATCTTCTGCCCTTCAAGTAAAGGTGCACACTGTTAGCTGCCATCTTGGAGAGTCCACATTGCTGACTTATAAGATAAACTATTTTAAACTTTTGAGGACTGTCTTCTGAAGTAGATATGTGAACATTTAACATTCCCATCAGCAGCACATAGGGTTTCAGTTTCTCCATGTCCTGACCTATTTGTAATTATCTATACTTCTAATTATACCCATCATGTTGGTTGTTACTGTTTCACTAGTTTGGATCTCACTTTCTATAATTATGTATATATAATGTGAAATGTTTTTACTGGTTTCTTGGGCAGTTTATATTTTGGAGAAATGTTTATATATAACCTTTGCTATTTAAAAAATGTTTTATCTACCTTTTTGTCATTCAGTTGTGTTATTTACACCCTCTGGACATAATTTCCTTATCATAATTTGAAAACAATGTCTTCCATTATGCAGGTCTTTTCACTTCATTAATGACATTGTTTACAGTACCTCATGTTGCTACTTCTCAAACTTTTGGGTATGCTGCTCATCAACTAAAGCATGAAAATTACTGAACATGGGTGAGCAGTGCAGCCATGGCAGAGATTATGGCTTGGGACTTGCACAGCAAAAAGAAAGAGGAGCTGCTGAAACAACTGGACAATCTGAAGGTGGAGCTGTCTCAGCTTCAAGTCGCCAAGGTGACAGGAGGTTCATAATCCATCACCTGAGGTATCCTCACTGTCATTAAGCAGACTAAAATAGAAAAATTCAGGGAATTCTAAAGGGCAAGAAGTACAAGCCTCTGGACCTGTGAGACGTCTAGTAGGACCCACGAACCCTAGAGCTATGTGCTGCTGGCTCACCAAGCATGAAGAGAAGCTGAAGACCAAGAAGCAGTAGAAACAGGAGCAGTTGTACCTGCTGCGCATGTATGCAGTCAAAGCTTGAGGTGGCAATAAAGTACAAGACTGGTAAAAAAAAAAAATACTGAACATGTCTTACCCGAACTATTTCACAGTCGACATTTAATTCAGTTGCAACAGCTTCAATCTTCTCTCTACATACAGAGCCTAGGCTGGTCATACCATTATCCCAGTACTTCTTAAGGGTAGCCAAGTCTTGGTCACTGAACTGAGTGCGGTCCTGTAGCTAGAAAATATATTTAAAATTTAGTACAATCAAAGGAAGTGATGTTATTGAGAAGGTAAACAGAGTGAGAAGTCCAATATATAACATTGTGACAGCGATCCTGGGCTTCTTCCTTCATCTAACAAGCCATAATTTTTCTCACCTGTAAAATTAGCATGTTTAAAAGGAGTACAGGAGTCAGGAGCTCAAAATGACTGCCTACGAAAAGAAATAAACACGTTGGCTTTTCTAGACCTCCCAAAGCGATAGATTTGCAACAAAGAACACATATCAGTCCCAGAATGGGTGTGATTCCTACACTCTACAATGTTTCTTTTCTCTTTCAAAATGGTGGGTCTTTAAGATCCTATATTTTTCTGTCTTAATGTAAATTAAAACAAACAACAAGAACAAAAACCTGCCTCAGAGAAAACCTGGGACCCAGGTATCATTGTTCCCAGAAAAGGATCAATTGGCCTTTCTCACATTTACAATTGTGTATGTTTTAGCCTTTATCTCCTTGCTGTCTATGAAATATGAGATGCCTACAGGAGTAGTAGGAAGGAAATCAGACACCCCCCACTTTGGCCAAATTATAGATAAACACATTGGCTTTTACTAATTTCTGTTTCTTAAATATCTAAAATAAAGAGAAACTGAGACTATGAGTTTATTAACCCGAGTGTCCAGCAAAAATTGCAGATAAGCAATTTTACAAGTTTTCCCTATTTCCTCATGAATACGTACATTTTTGTTGTTTTAAATTTCCATAAAAAGTGTTCTAGGATGAAAGGAGTAGAATTGTTTTTAAGTGACAGCAATCTAATGTTCTTCATTATGAAAACATGCTCATTTTAGCAAACAGATAAACAGAAGATAATTTAAATTAACAATCTGGAATAACACTTAACATTTTAACTTTTACCTATAATGCATATAATGCATACATTCCCTCTCATATATTACAAAAACATCAGTAAAATAAGAATGGGGGCCAAGGATAACACAGTTCACTCACTAAAGTACTGGGGTATGAGGTTGTTGCAGTATAGTTAGTTCATCCAAGTACAACATGACTTTTTGTTTTGTTTTGTTTTGTTTTTACCAACACAGAGCAGATATAATCCTGAACCCCTCATCAGGCAAGGAAATAAAACAATATACTAATAGGGCTCTGGTAATAGAAATGAAGCTGCCAATCCTCTTTAGTAGCGCAGACTGAAGGGTATAGGACCTTCAGCTGGGAATATAACAAATACCCCCTCCTTCCTCCTCACTTCAGGTGGCCTTCAGAAGTGCTAAAGTGTATCTCAGGTTAATTGAATGCACTGTTCTATGAGGCAGTTCAGTGAGGTTCGTCCTATATATTCTGGGATGGGCCTTTTATATGAGTCATCCATGCTCCAGTAAGTAAACCCAATAAATCCACTGGTTCCACAGGCTGGATTTGAATGGAACCTTTCCTTTGGTCTGTCTTTGTTGATGTATCTGGAATGAATAGACATTTGTTCAAGTCTCCACAGGAAAAGCCGTGCAACAGAGGCTATTGTGCTGCCTTTTGCCTAAGATGAAGTTTATTTAGTTCTACAATAAGACAACACTTCAAATACTTCCTACTCAACTATGCCTTTTTTCTTTTTTTTAACTTTTATTAATTACACTTTATTCACTTTGTATCCCCTCATAAGCCCCTCCCTCCTCCCCTCTCGATCCCACCCTCCCTCCCCCTTCTTCACGCATGCCCCTCCCCAAGTCCACTGATAGGGGAGGTCTTCCTCTCCTTCCCTCTGATCTTAGTCTATCAGATCTCATCAGGAGTGGCTGTGTCATCTTCTGTGGCCTGGTAAGGCTGCTCCCCCCTCAAGGGGAGGTGATCAAAGAGCAGGCCAATCAGATTATGTCAGAGGCAGTCCCTCTTCTCATTACTATGTAACCCACTTGGACACTGAACTGTCATGTGCCACACCTGTGCAGGGGTTCAGTAAGAGCTAGAGAGGACAGGAACCCCACAAGGAGAGCAACAGAACCAGAAAATTTGAACACAGGGAACTTCCCAGAGACTCATACTCCAACCAAGGACTATTCATTGAGATGGCCTAGAACCCCTCAACTATGCCTTTTAAAATTTTATTTCTAACTGAAATTTAACATGAGGGCCACCTAAGTCAGTGGGAAGTAAAACATATACAACAAGGGTTGGGGAAGTGGTAGGAAAACCACTTGCTTTGTATGCATGAGGACCTCAGTTCAAATCACCAGCTCCCCCATAAAAGTAGTGACTGTTAGCTGTGTTTGTAATCCTAGCACTGGGGAGTGGAGATTATTGGATTTCTGATGTTTACCAGCCAGCCAATCAAGGCAAATGAAATTTTCAGGTGGAATGAGACTTTGCTCTCTCTGTCACCATCTTTGTCTCCATCTCTGACTCTAAGTTTCTCTCCTCCTTATGTGTGTGTGTGCACTCACATGTGTGTGTGCATATGTGTGTATGTATGTGTATGTGTGTGTATTAATAAATTCAATGACAAGGGGATGGAAAGATGGCTCAGCGGGTTAAAGGATACACTATACTTTCAAGGATCCAATTTTTATTTTTATTATTATTTACATTTTATTAACTCTGTATCCCTGCTGTATCCCTCTCCCTCATTCCCTCCCAATCCTTCCCTCCCTCCCTCATCTCTTCCCTGCCCCTTTCCAAGTCCACTGATAGGGGAGGGACCTCCTCCCCTTTCATCTGACCCTGTTTTATCAGGTATCTTCAAGACTGACTGCAAAGTCCTCTTGTGTGGCCTAACAGGACTGCTCCTCTCTTGGGGGGGTGGGGAGGTCAAAGAGCCTGCCATTGAATTCATGTCAGAAATAGTCTCTGTTCCCCTTAATAAGGAAAAACCAATTGGTTACTGAGTTACCATACACTATATCCAAGCAGAGGTTCTAGGTTATATCTATGAATGGTCCTTGGAGACCATTCATGGTTGGAGAAACAGTCTCATATAAGACCCCTGTGCCCAGATATATTTGGTCCTTGTGGAGCTCCTGTCCTCTCCAGGTCATACTAACTCCCCCTTCTTCCATATGATTCCCTGCACTCTGCTGAAGGTTTGGTTATGAGTCTTAGTATCTGCTATGATACACTTCTAGGTAGAGTCTTTCAGGGGCCCTCTGTGGTAGGCTCTTGTCCTGTTACTTGTTTTCTCCTGCATCCAATGTCCATCCCATTTGTCTTTCTAAGTGAGGATTGATCATCTTACCCCGGGACCTCTTTCTTGTTTATCTTCTTTAGGTGTATATATTTCATTATGTTTATCCTATCTTATAGGTCTATATAAGTGAGTATATACCATGTGTGTTTTTCTCCTTCTGGGATACCTCACTCAGAATGATCTTTTTTAGATCCCACCATTTGCCTGCAAATTTCATGATTTGATTATTTTTAATTGCTGAGTAATACTCCATTCTGTAAGTGCACCACAATTTCTGTATCCATTCCTCCGTTGTTGGACAACTGGGTTGTTTCCAGGTTCTGTCTATTATGAGTAAAGCTGCTACAAACATGGTTGAGAAAATGTCCTTGTTGTGTACTTGAACATTTTCTGGATATATGCTTAGGAGTGATATAGCTGGATTTTGAGGAAGCAGTATTCCTAATTGTCTGAGAAAGCACCAGATTGATTTCCAAAGTGGTTGTACAAGATTACATCTCCACCAGCAATGGAGGAGGGTTCCCCTTTCTCCACAACCTCTCCAGCATGGGTTGTCATTTGCATTTTTGATGTTAGCCATTCTGATGGGTGTAAGGTGAAATCTCAGGGTCGTTTCGATTTGCATCTCTCTGATGGCTAAAGATGTTGAGCATCTCTTTAAGTGTTTCTCTCCCATTCTGTATTCCTCTACAGAGAATTCTCTATTTAGCTCTGTACTCCATTTTTTAAATTTCTATTTATTTTTATTTTTATTATTAGTTAAATTTTGCTAACTCGGTATCCCAGCTGTATCCTGCTCCCTCATTCCCTCCCAATCCCACCATCCCTCCCTCATCTCCTCCCTGCCCCTTTCCAAGTCCACTGATAGGGGAGGACCTCCTCCCCTTTCATCTGACCCTGTTTTATCAGGTATTTTCAGGACTGGCTGCAAAGTCCTTCTCTGTGGCTTAACAGGACTGCTCTTCCCTTGGGGGGTGGGAAGGTCAAAGAGCCAGCCATTGAGATCCGGTTAGAAATAGTCCTTTTTCCCCTTACTATGGGAAACCAATTGGATGTACCATGGGCTACATCTGAGCAGAGGTTCTAGGTTATATCCATACGTGGTCCTTGGTTGAGTGTCAGTCTCAGAAAAGACCCTGTGCCCAGATATATTTGGTCTTTGTGGAGCTCCTGTCTTTTCCACATCATACTAACTCCCCTTCTTTCATATAATTCCCTGTACTCTGCTGAAGGTTTGGTTATGATTCTTAGTATCTGCTTTGAAACACTGCTAGGTAGAGTCTTTTGGAAGCCTCTTGCAGTAGACTCCTGTCATAAGTTCAATGCACATCCCATTTGTCTTTCTAAATGAGGATTGATCATCTTACCCCATGTCTGCTTTCTTGATTATCTTTTTTAGGTGTATAGATTTCATTATGTTTATCATATCTTATAGGTCTATATAAGCGAGTATATACCGTGTTTGTCTTTCTCCTTCTGGGATACTTCACTCAGAATGATCTTTTCTAGAACCCACCATTTTCCTGCAAATTTCATGATTTCCTCTTTTTTGATACTTGAGTAGTATTCCATTGTGTAAAAATACCACAATTTCTGTACCCATTCCTCCGTTGATGGACATCTGGGCTGTTTCCAGGTTCTGGTTATTACAAATAAAGCTGCTACAAACATGGTAAAAAAATGTCCTTGTTGTGTACTTGAGCATCTTTTGGATATATGCTTAGGAGTGGTATAGCTGGATTTTGAGGAAGCAGTATTCCTAGTTGTCTGAGAAAGCGCCAGATTGATTTCCAGAGTGGTTGTACAAGTTTACAT